CACCGTGTTAAAGGCAAGCGAATAGAAGTGGGTCTTCAAGCGAGACTTAAAGACTGAGAGTGTGGGAGCCTGCCGGACACTCAGTGGCAACTCATTCCACAGTCGTGGACCTGCAACAGAGAAAGCCCTGTCACCTCTGAGCTTACGACGGGTTTCTGGGACTGAGAGAAGCATCTGGTCTGCTGACCTCAGAGAGCGCGGTGGGACATATGGCTGCAGAAGATCAGTGAGATAGGATGGGGCGGAACTGTTCAGTGATTTAAAAACATACATGAGAATTTTGAAATGGATCCGAAGGTGAATGGGTAGCCAGTGCAGGGAGGCCAAAACTGGCGTGATGTGCTCTCTATAGCCTGTACCAGTTAAAAATCGGGCTGCAGCATTTTGGACCAGTTGTAGACGAGCAATGGAGGACTGACTGATTCCAAACAGAAGTGAATTGCAGTAATCAAGCCTAGATGTTATGAAGGCGTGGATCACTGTCTCGAGGTTCTTTTTGGAGAGTATAGGCTTCAGCTTAGACAGCCGTCTCAGCTGAAAAAAACAGGATTTGACCATCATGTTTACGTGACTGTTGAGTTTTAAGGACGGGTCCATTATCACCCCCAGATTAGTGACCTTTTGTTTCTCTAGCGGGGCTAGAGAGAAAAGGTCAATGTCATGGTTCATGAGTGAGCCACTGGTATGGAACAGCATGACTTCAGACTTCTTCTCATTGAAGCTAAAGAAGTTTAAAGCCATCCAGTCCCGGATGTCAGCCAGGCAGTCAAGAAGAGGCTGAATAGAGCGTGTGCCTCTGTGCCTCAGGGGGAAGTAAATTTGGCAATCATCGGCATAGAAATGAAAGGGTATGTCGTGTTTGCGGAAGATAGCACCTAGTGGCAGCAGGTATAAAGAAAAGAGAAGGGGACCGAGGATGGACCCCTGCGGTACCCCCCACTGGAGTGCGGTCGATGCCGAACTAAAATCTTTGATATTGACACAGAAGGTTCTGTCAGAGAGTTAGGACCCAAACCATTTAAGGGCTGACCCTGTGATGCCCACCCACTGCTCCAGTCTAGAAATGAGGATATTGTGGTCGATGGTGTCAAAAGCAGATGTAAGGTCCAATAGGACAAGCAGCACAGAATCACCTGCGTCTGTGGATATGAAAATGTCATTAAAAACCTTCAGTAGAGCAGTTTCAGTGCTATGGAGAGATTTGAAGCCAGATTGGAATAACTCAAGGATAGCGTGATCCCCCAAAAACTGTTTCAACTGAGACTCCACAATTTTTTCCAGTAGTTTAGAGGTGAATGGGAGTCTGGAGACAGGCCGGAAGTTGGACATGACTGAGGGGTCAAGGTTAGGTTTTTTCAGGAGGGGCTGGACAGCAGCATGTTTAAAAGTCTTTGGCACCACACCTGAGGATAAACTGCTATTCAGAATAGCGAGAATAAAAGGACCCAGGGTAGGAAAAACTTCCTTTAGCAGTCGAGGGGGGACCACATCAAAGGGGGAACCAGATGGCTTCATATCACCCTATATCTTTCATGCCAAAGTTTTAGACTAAAATCGTCACAGGATGAGAAATGACGTACTACGGTGGCCCTAAGGTGTAAATGAACAACATTTGAAAAAACAGAATTACATTAAGCCAAAGCGGAAGTGGCCAAATTCTAATGTGATTCCGGCCACTTCCGCTTTGGCTTAATGTAATTCTGTTTTTTCAAATGTAATTCTGTTTTTTCAAATGTTGGTCATTTACACCTTAGGGCCACCCTAAATGACAGATTTCTAGTGCTTTGGTTAAGTAAAGACAACTAATAGTTTTAAATAAAGATTTTATGCAATGTGGTGTGCACAGAACATGTATTGGGTGCAACTTTTTTAGAACCACAGAAATTCTCAGTTCGATATCTCCAAGACTGGCTGTTAGAGCCGTCTTTATGTGTGCTAAGATTGATTAGCTATGGCCGCCATTCTGAAACATATTTGGTCAAAAAGTTAAAAGTAGAGCTGCATTTAATGAGTACTTTCTGCAAGGTTTTTTTTTTTTTTTTTTTTTTTAATTGAGTTGTTTCTGAGGTATTTTTTGTAATGAACAGCCACACAAGCACATTCACGAGACACAAGAAAAAAAAGGCAGTTGTCACCTTTAATAATAAACAAGGGATTCAGATAACTCCCAAAGATTCATATTCAGAGAATGTGGTAGGTTAAGATGTTAAGAGATAACTCAATACAGTGGTCAAAACAAAAAGCATATCAGTATTACATGCTGCCTTTGTTCATGTTTGTTAGATATGAAGTTCAAATTCTTTGTAAATCATTTAGTTTCCTCTTGCATTTTAAACAAAATTTCTACTTTTTAATTTTTGGAGTAGACTAATAAAAAGAACAGCCTCAGCTTTAGTTCTGTAAAAGCTAAGAAGGTTAAGTCGGGTCCTCTGGACAGATTCTTCTTGTTGAAACTTCTATCCAAAATATTCAGTCTGAGGAGCTGCAGTAAACTCAGTCTTATAAATAGCACCTTCAACCAGTTTGCTGGACACAGCCAGAACTTGTTCACATGCAAAAGGAGGACCAGCCTAACAACAGATCGTTAGTGTACTGATGGCCACTTGCTATTCACAGAGGGCTGAGTGATCTAGCTATAACAGCATTGTAAGAGGGGGATAATTGGACATGAGGCCCCTGTTTAATGACGGACTGTTTCTCTTCACAAAGATGGCCTCCTTCACTCCTCTCTCAAACCATCATTCCTCTCTATCAAGGATGTGAAAGAGTGACCTGACCGCTGGCCTGGAGATGAGATGGGAAGCTCAGTCCTTACCTCCTTCTACAAGTGTGCAGTGGAGAGCATCCTGTGCTCCAGCATCAACGAGTGGCATGGAGGCTGCACAGCTGAAGAAAGAAAAGCTCTGCAGGGAGTGGTGAAGGCTGCACAGAAGACTGTTGGAGTCAGCCTCCCCACCATCACAGACATCGACACCTCTAGATGCAAGAAAAGAGCCACCTGCATCATGAAGGACCCCACTCACCCAGCACACACACTATTTGCCCTGCTCCCCTCTGGAAGGAGGTTAAGGAGCATTAAGTGTAGAACCACTACACTGAGGAACAGCTTCTACCCTGAGGCTGTTAGACTCATGAATCGCTAACTAGAATAGTCAAAGTGAAGAATCACATCATGTTGCTGCTGATCTGTTTCATGTTGCTGCTGATCTGTTTCATGTTGATGTGTTCATGCGTGCTCATCTGCTCACACAGACTCATGTTCGTGCTGCTGTTGGGCGTATTGTTTTTATGCTATTAGTGCTTAGCATATTTTTAGCTGATGTTTTTCTGAGTTCATATCTTAGATCTTATTACTGTTTTTTATTTTACATTTTACTGTTGGATGTAAATGGAACCCTGTGTACATAATTTTGTTCCACCACATGTAACACATGGTGAAATAACAATGAAGAATCTCTGAATCTGAGATGAGTGTAGACCGCAGAGTCCTGGCCTGATGATGTTGATCTTCTGTGCTGGTCCATCCTTTTGGCCAGTGACTGTTTACTGGCAGTTTCCCCGATGTAAGACTGATCACCCTCCTGACACTGAACAACATACACAACATTACTCTGTTTGTGCCGGGGGACTGGATCTTTGGGATGAACCAGTCTTTGCCGTAATGTATTTTGGGGTTTAAAAGCCACTGGGACATTGTGTTTAGAAAATAAACGTCTCATTTTCTCTGAAACTCCCGCAACATATGGAATGACCACTGGTCTGGGTTCCTCCTTTTCACCTGATGGCTGACTGGAGTCCAGTTTGGATTTCTTCTCTGCTTCCAGGAAGGCCCAGTTAGGATATCCACATTGCTCCAGGGCCGGTCTTGTGTTGGATTTCTCCTTCTGCCTGGCTCCTGAGTTAGTGGTGACGCTGTCTGCTCTGTGGTACAGAGTCCTGATGACTCCTAACGTGCTCCAGAGGGTGATGGGAGTCAAACTGCAAATACTGGTCTGTGTGGGTGGGTTTGCAATGCTGCAATGCTAGCAGCATCACTCAGCCCTCTGTGAATAGCAAGTGGCCATCAGGACACTAATGTTCTATTGTTATTGTTGTTCTTCCGGATCGAAGGCGAAACGTTTCAGCACAAAAAAAAAAAAGAAACTCTCCAGATGACCTGACTGAAAAATGTTGGATTGTATACCTGGATTATTGAGCATGGGCTTTGTTGTTCTATTGTTCGGCTCATAGTCCTTCTTTTACATGTGAACAAGTTTCGGCTGTCTCCAGCAAACTGGTTGATCCACTATGAGAAGGTGACTGAATTTATTGCAGCTCGATTATACTACCTTGATTATAGAGCATCACCAAGAAAGTTCTGTTAAAGGTTTGTATCGTTACATTGATTAAATAAATGTCGATTATAGCCGGTTCCTCAGCTGCTGAGACCGATTGTTGTTGGGATTATTATTACCGCTACCTTGAAGGGCACAGTTCTCTGTGTTATGGCTCTAATCAGCTGCGTGTCAGGTTTCACTGTTACCTTTTTTTACTGGTTGTGTAACGCTGACTGATGTAGAGGGCAGTTGTTATCATGACGTTGTTTTTTAATTTTTTTTAACATGGTGGTAGGTCACTAGTCAGCATGCAAAAACAGCTCTTTGTAGAAGAATGTACATGATGCCATGGATTGAGTCAGAGCAACATGAGCTTACTGTAAATTAAAAACAAATAAATAAAACAAACAAGATTATCCAGGCTCACATTCACAGGTCATTATGCTAAAATCAGCAGCACTGATTACATACATTGGACATCATCTTATTCAGCTTATATTTGACTAATGTCCATTTTAACTTAGCTCCAAAGCAATGATGTCTCCTTTTTACAGACATCGCTCAAAAAATTAGAATATCAAGAAAAAGATGAACATTTTTTGTCATTCATTTCAGAAAGTTTCAGTCCTTGAAGCTTTGTGCTGACATTATAAAAGGTTCTGATTAATACATCCTGTCCTGCAGGTCGTGTTGTGGATCTGCAGAGCGGGCTCCCCTCACCCTGTCCACGAGACCCCCTCCTCAGTCCTGAGTCACACATGGTAAGATAAGATCCTCTTGTGCTTTTGGTAAATCGACAGTGATCTTCATTTTGGTAAATAATGTTAATTTTAGCTAAATCTTTGAAATGTGCAGCAGATAGAATGTAAAACGTGTCTGGAGTCATGTGGACACACCTGTGAGGTAACGACCAGTGAATTCTGGTCCTTGTGCCCTTTGACCCAGAGAAGCAAGTTGATTTGAATATTTTCTGTCACATATTTTTGACCTCACTGGTAAAACAGCCTAATGATAATAATATTTTCCATCAAAACTGTAATAAAACAAATCAAATCTATTGTAGTGGTCACGAATGGACAAAATAAGACATGTCTTGGTGTAGATTCACACTGCAGGTATATCCCAATAAATTAGATTACCGTGAGTTTATTTCAGGTAAACTCGTGTTTTATTTCTCAGTGATGTATTTCATGTGTTTACTTTTGTTGATTTTAATATCTATGAATTGCAGCTAATGAAAACCCAGAATTCTGTTTCTTTGAATATTAGATCATCATATAGTATCAATAAAAAAGGAGTATTAATACAGATGTAAACCTCCTGAAAAGTATGTCCATGGAGGCCATCAGTCTGTGGACCTGCTGACATCTTATGGTTGCTTTGAGCAGTCTTCAGCTTCTCTGCGATGTTGGCTCTCGTCGTCTTCGTGATAAAATCCCACAGATTGTCCATGGGCTTTAGGTCAGGCCAGTTTGCTGCCAGTCAAGCACAGTGAGTAGCTGAGAAGGTAGGTGTCAAGTCCTGATGAAAATTAAGCATCTCCATAAAGCTTGTTTGAAGAGCGAAGCAGGATGTGCTCTAAAATGTTCTGGTCTGTGCTGACTATGTTTGGACTTGATAAAACCCAGTGGGTCCACAGCAGCAGAGGACGTCGCCCCAAATCATCTCTGACTGAGGAAACTTCACACTGGACATCAAGAAACTTGGATTTTGTGCCTCTCCACTCTCTTGGGTCTTGATTTCTATCCATCCATCATCTTTACTTGCTTCTTCTTTTTTTTGGATCACGGGGGTCACTGGTGCTCACATCCAGCAGTGACTGCGCGAGAGGTGGGGGACACCCTGGACAGGTCTCCAGTCCATCACAGGGACACATACACTGGTGTACCCAGAGAAAACACACGCATGCACTGAGAGAACATGTAAACTCCACCAGAATGGCCCCCTGGCCAGAATTCAATCCGGCGGTCTTCTTACTAAGAGGCGGCAGCTCTTACTGCACCACCGTGCCACCCTGTCTTGATTTCTAATTGAAATTAAATAAATTACTTTATTCTGAAATGAGGAGGTGGAACAACTAAGCGTCGGTCGAGTCCTTTTCCTCCACAGCCCAGGTAAGATGCTTCAGACGTCTCTGCGTCAGATGTTGCTCGGCACATGGAGCCTGACAGTTTTCCTGGCTCTGTCCACGTCTTGTCGATCTGTTGGTCTCATGTGATATTTAACAGAGAAACTGAAGTTTGAGTTTCCATTAGCTGTAAACAATAATCATCCAGATTTTAAAAAAATGTATGCAGTTATTAATTTTGTGTGCACTAGATCAAAATAAAATATGAATTTCACTTTTTATTTTTGTTGACTTACTAGAATTAATTACCTTTTGATTATAATTGATTAAGATGTAATTGTGCTTCCTTTAAGTGTTCAACATGTTCAGCAGAAGACTGATCTGTCACATAATGTTTTTCTTTTCTTCTGGTTTTTGAAATGTTGACAGGATTTATGCCCGTTAATCCGTGTTGGATTATAAAACAAGACCATGTGTCTGACTCTTTGTTTCAGGATGTTCAGGGGTATAAGTGGGTGCGTTGGCGGGTGTGGTTGTGTCGTCTGGGGGCTGTGCTGTCGTTGGGCTCCCTCCTGATTCTGTTTCACTGGAGGCCTCGGCTTGGTGTCCTCGCCCGCTGCCGTTCCTGCCCGCTGGCTTTGGCAGAAGTTCTGCTGCTAAGAGTAATAAAATAAATCCCGACATCTTGTTTTATTAATATCTTGTTTTGTCACTTTATAAGAAACATGGAATAATTTTTATTTTAAACAAGTCTTTATCATTGCATTTATAGTTTGTATATTTGTTTCTGTCAGGACGGTTCTGGCGGGCAGCATGTGGTAAAGGTGCAGACAGTGGAGATGGAGGAGGGCAGGTGAGCTTCACGTCTCTGTCCTTCAACAGTATCATCGTCTTTAAACTTTCAGAAACGTGATTAAAAGGCAAAAAGTAAAAAATCGATACACATTTAGGATGTTTCCTTCTTGGTTGTTTCAGTTTGGAGATGTTGGGACATCAGGAGGAGGCTGAGTGGAGAGATACAGTTTATCTGCACAAAAACGAGGTACAAACAGGAGGTTTTTTTGTTTGTTTGTTTTTTTACAGATTTATGCCCAGACGGATCTTCTGTTGAGTCTTTGAACTGTATTTTACTGTGTTTCAGAAAACGCTGCTGCACTACTACCTGTTTGAAGGGCTGCGTTATGTTTGGCTGGACAGGAAGGGGTCTTTCTGTCGTGTCAGGTAGTCGAACAGGAACAACCAAAAACAGTCAACTTCTTGAAGTTACTCACTGCAAAGTATTAAAACATAAAAACTTTATCCTAAACTATTTCAAATGGTGGAGTTTGAAAGGGTTCACTCCAGTAGTATTCCATATATACTGAATTCAATTCTGAAATGTGGGTCCGCACTCAACGTAAATAAACATTCTGCACCTTTACTCAGTTTACAATCAAAACAGCAACTTAAATTACCTCAGCTCTCTTTTAATGGCTTGACCTTTTTCAGATAAAGTAGAAAATTATAATAAAAGAAAATACTCATGCTTTAAAACATTCTGATAATATTTCCAACATTTTTTTTAATCTCTTGTCTTCAGTGTCCTCAATGAGGACTGGACTTGCAAAGACTTGCACAGTTTCCATAAGGGCCTGAGTCCTGGGGAGCAGAGCATGAGGTAGAAGAAATAACAAGTGAGCTGTTTTAAACTTGAAGAGGATTAAAAATAATAATTTATCATGCTTTTTATTAATATTATTTCAGGAGATCCATGTTTGGAGACAACCTTATTGATGTGCCTGTGAAATCGTACAGGAGGCTTCTGATTGACGAAGTGAGTTGGAAAAAAGCTAGAAAGGCCAGGACGTTGTCTAAACACATCTACATAATGAAGTTTATTTAATAAGACACTAAACCTTGTCATTTATGTCTGATTTATGTTATATAGACTGAAGTACATGGCATTAATAAAATATTTTCTGGAAGTTTGGGTTATATTTGTAGGGTTTAAGTATTTTGTGAAAAACTTAAATAGTCAAATTAGATTTTTCTTCTTTTTCTGCTCCTGCAGGTCCTCAACCCGTTCTACATTTTTCAAGCGTTCAGTATTACCCTGTGGATCATTGATGATTATTATTTTTATGCCCTATGTATATTTATTATCTCCATTATCTCCATCAGTGTCTCACTTTATGAAACTCGTAAGGTAAGCGTTCAAAGAATTTGTCTCCTAATTCTGTGATTGTTTGATATTTTCTGGAAACAGTTTGAAAAACGTATTTTTTATCCTCACACAGCAAAGCGTCACTCTACGCAACATGGCTCAGTTTATAACAAGCGTTACAGTTCGCAGAGAGTCAGGAGGTAAGTTTATAAAGGAGCTTTCTGATCTGAACTTCAGCTAGCTTCAGAAAATCTGTGTGGAACTGATAAATGGTCAGATTTTAATAACAAGTGCTGCAGCTGAATGTATCAGAGCCCTGGGAATATTTTTATTTTTCTACTGAAAGAAAAAAAAAATCGAGCATTTCATCAAGATTAAAATATGCTTTGTAATATTTAAGAATTTTAATTCTTCTGTTTTTATGTCATGATAAAAATTTATGAGGGGGTAGAAACTAGGGATGCACGATATTGGATTTTAGGCCGATATGTTAAAACTTATTTGACCGATACCAATACCGATATTTTTCCCCCCTAGACCTACTTGCAGAGACTAGCGGTGCATAGCTTTCTCTGCTGTGGAATAAAAATACTTCTTTATTCTGCATGGTCTTTGTCAATCTGGCCTACCAATTGCAGATGCCAAAAAGGGGGCTGAAAATGCTTAAATATATGTCAGCCCAACTCAAACTGCAGTTGGGCCACCTCGTCGGGTTTGTTTGCCCATTTGAACTGTGACGTTTTATGGTCTGAGACTTTTCTGCATCATTCATATTATTGTCACTATTTTCAGTTCTCAGATTATCTGGAGTCACTGAATCTTGTTAATACACCTGAATCTGCCCATCACTGCAACTTTCACTGTTTTTGGGTTCTGAATGATCACGTCTTCATTAATGTTTCTCATGATTCAATTATGGGGGGCTAATTGTCACACTGTTAACTCCTGTAATTACACATCAGTCACAAAAAACTCAAGAAAATGTCTGATAATAATGTTGTTACTGCTCTCAGGGATTCAGCCCAACCCTGGGCCCTCCACTAATTACAGCACACCAAATGACTTTAAGAACGTGTCTGGGCTTCATTTTCTGCATGTAAACGCTCGTAGCCTTCGGAGAAAACTTGGTGCCTTGAAAATTCTGGTCAGTTCTTCTGGGGCAGATGTAATCTTCATCTCTGAAACCTGGCTCAACAAATCTGTACTCAATAATGACCTGACAATCATTGGATTTAACATCTACCGCTGTGATCGTCAAAAAAAAGGGGGGGGGGGGTCACTGTTTACATCAGAGATTCTTTGGTTGCTAGCCCTGTGTCTTCTAAAACAATTCCTAACCAAATAAAGGTTGAATGAATGAAAATATAATATATATATTAAAAAATACAGCACCTTTTATATTGATGAGTTATTTTGATGGAATGGCCGATGTCCAATATTTAACTTTATAGCTAATATCAGTCAATATCGATACCATGCTGATAATATTGTGCATCCCTAGTAGAAACAAAAGAAGAAAATGGAGGTCAAGGTTAAGAAGGCTAAATAAATGTGTCCTTTTGTAGAACCATTGTTTTAGAGTGTGTTTTAGACTTACGTCTTTGCGAACTTCAACAAAATTAGCTTGACAAACCTTACGGGAGGAAGAGTGTGAACATATGTTTAGAGATCTGCATGTTTTTTGATGAGGAACGCCAAAATACTGGAACTTTAACCCATAATGTTCCTCATAACATAAATCCCTCCTGAAGACACACCTGTACTCATTAACATTTAACACAGTCTGATCCGATTTAGTATTTCATTGTTTCTAATTATGTTTTGTGTTTTTATGCTTCTACTCCTGATTAGGCGTGTCACGATAAACAATAAATCAATTAATCGCATGATAAATGAAAATTATCAACCTCATTTTCATTTATCGGCTTTATCGTTTCTTAGTCTCTCTCTTTCTACTGAAGACACTGGATGACAAAAGGCTCAACTCCAGTACTCTTCACTGACCCCTCCCTTTCTCTTTTCTCTTTAAAATCTGTTTTAACGATCCAAAATCATGTTTTTGGATCGTTAAAAGCAGCTAAGCTGAGAAGCTAAGCTAACAGGCCGACCTCAGGGGAAAAAACCTCCGTCTTGTCGAAGCTCCAAAATTCACAGTTGAAACCTGTGCCTTCATGAAAAAAGTTGTTTTTCTCTGCAAATAGAAGCTGAGAACTTGTTTATTGATTTTTTTGATTAAAGCTTTGTGTGAAAAATGCTATGCTAAAGAGCTCAAACCACACCGAGCGTCCGCCATTTTCAGAACTGAATATGTCAAGGGGCCTCCTTCCCATTTTTCTTAAAGACACACTGCTCCTCCCTCACTATCCATCCTTCGGTTCAAACAGTCTTATACTACCATCCGGTGGTTAAAAAAAGGTACTACACTCAAAACTAATTAACCAATATTTCTTAAATTTGACAATAATTGCTAATTATTGTCAAATTTCAAACAATATTATCGTTTATCGCAATAATTTCTGAGACAATTAATCGCCCAGCAACGTTTGTTATCATGACAGGCCTACTCCTGGTGCTGTAATTATAGCTTGTTATTTTTATTTGATGCTGTGATCTTGTTGTTAAGCACGTTGGTAACAGTTCCTGTTTTAAATGTGCTTTATAAATAAATTTGACTTGACTTGACTTATAAGAACACCTTATTGTGTTTCATTCTCAGGGATTCATCCCCCCCCCCAAAAAAATACCACATCGGTTTTATTGTAGAACATTTTGCATTAATGAATGTAGGATGGTAGTTTCTTCTCATGACAGCAAACAATTTCACCATGTGTGAAAAAGAAAGAGCCTGTTGATACAATACAGTTAACTTTGGATGTCCAATGTGTAGAAAGGGGGAGGAGTTGAAAAGTTTGATAGCCACAGGGAGGAAGGACTTCCTGTGTTGTTCTGTGGAGCACCTTCAGTCATAGACTGAGACCACCAGTAAGAGTCCAGTGTGTCATGCAGGGAGTGTAACGTGTTGTTCAGGATCTGGAGCAGTTTCCTCAGCATCCTCTGCTCAGACACCTCTGTCAGAGACTGCAGCTCCTCTCCCAGAACTGAGCCAGCTCTCTCCATGAGTTTATCGAGTCTGTTTTCATCGGCTTTCTTTCAAGGATTCAAGGATTTTTATTGTCATTCACATCACATGTGGTACATGAGGTGGAACGAAACTATGTACACAAGGTCCCAGTTACATCCAACAAAAATACAGATTGTAAAGAAAAACAGTAGTAATATCCAAGACATGAACTAAGAATATACTACATTCGCTAAATTAAGAATACACAAAACTAAGAATACACTAAGCACAAGTAGTACCCTGCTGCCCCAGCACATCACAGCGTAGAAGATGCTGGAGACCACCGAGTGGTAAAACATCTGCAGCATGGTCCTGCAGATGTTAAGACTGTGTCTCCTCAGAAAAAATACGAACTACATATTCTAGTTTTAATGGTCTAAACTGTGTTGCTTTTTTCTCTACATGCTTTTTTTTTTTTTTTTTTTTTTAACTCCCTATGAATTATGGAAATAACCAAGAAATCAAGCTTTTGTTTTGGAACTCAATGAAGCAACAAAATTTTTTACTGAGGGTATTCTTCATTAAAGCAAGCACTTTTTAATCAACCCTATAATTGTATGTTTTGTTAGAGGAAGACAGTGTGAGCTCAGTGGAGCTGGTCCCTGGCGATTGTCTAATTATCCCTCAGGAAGGTCTGCTGCTGCCCTGTGACGCCGCCCTGCTGGCTGGGGAGTGTCTCGTCAACGAGAGCATGCTCACAGGTAAATCATTAAACCCCAACGCACCGCCAGAGACTAGACGAAAGTATTTGTTCTTCATTTTCTTTCTTTCAACGGTTTTGACCTACTTGCTGCTTTTTTATTAAAAATCTTAACCACATGGGTCATAAAACTTTTGTAGACTCTAAAAACTTTATATTATGAGGACAGAAATATCCTTGCGGTATGTGAGGGTCCAAACTTTTGATTTAACACCAATAAATGAAGGTTTGGGATTTGTTTTACATAGTTAGAATTTTTAATCATAAAGCTGGGCTTGCCATTTTAATTTTAAAATCGGTCATTAACTGTTTCTGTGGTGCTAAATTCATTTTACAGCTATCCTCATGTGTCTGAATTTTCTCAGCAAGATATCGGTCCATAAATTTGTTCTTAATGTCTTCAGGTGAAAGCGTTCCTGTGCTGAAAACCTCGCTGCCAGCTGATGACCGGACCTACAGCTCAGACACTGAGCGCAGACACACTCTTTTTTGTGGTACTCACATCATTCAGGCCAAAGGAGGGAGGCTCGGAGGCGGCGGTGCTGTTGCCGTGGTAACAAGCACTGGTTAGTAGAGAAGCAGTAACTTGTCTCTGTCTTTTTAAGGTTGATGCCAGTGTATGTGAATATGTTTAATGGGTTCTTGTTTTTTAGTTTATTTACCCTAGAAATCTTTATTAACACTAACACACAGATGTTAGCACTAACATGATGGCATGCACAGTTTTACTAATGACACCACATCATTAGTCCTTGCTTCTGTAAATATGTGGGAAATGCATGGAATATAAGGCAATACATATACAAGCATGGCAATAAAACAAAAAGCTTTATAACTGTCTTGTTGTTCTCCATCAACCTCTTGTTTCTGTTTGGTCTGCAGGGTTCTTCACAGCTAAAGGTGACCTGGTTAGCTCCATCTTGTACCCTCAGCCAATGAACTTTCGTTTTTACAAAGATGCCATGAAGTTCCTTCTCATTCTTGGTTTCATTGGTACGTGTCATCAATAACTAACCAACAGTTTTTTCTTTAATCGGCATCCGTCCATCCATTATCTTTTACACGCTTCTTCCTTTTTGTGTCGCGGGGATCACTGGTGGCCATGTCCAGTGATCACTGTACAAGAGGTGGAGGACACCCTGGACAGGTCTCCAGTCCATCACAGGGACACATAGAGACAAACGAAACAAACAACCATTCTCTCTCTCACTCACACCTAGGGACAATTTAGAGTTACCAATCAGCCTAACATGCATGTTTCTGGTCTGTGGGAGGAAACTGGAGTACCTGGAGAAAACCCACGCATGCACGGAGAGAACGTGCAAACTCTACTCAGAAAGGTCCCGGGCCGGGATTTGAACCGGCGACCTTCTCGCTGAGAGGCAACAGCTCTACCAACTGAACCACTCGGATCAGTGAATAAAGAGTGGCCTCTGTAATCAACAGTGCAAAAAAAAAGTTATAAAGTTTATTTGCAGGTGAAATAATCAGATCTTCAAAACGTTTTTCTTTTCTTTTTTTGCTTTAGCTCTAACCGGCACCATTTACATCTTTTTGATCCTCCTCAAAGCCAATGTAAGTAATACAGTGTAAGTACAAAATGTTTGTTCTGGCCTGCCAGTACTGTCAACACAGACCTGTGGCTCGGTGTGTTCAGGTGACCTGGATGCAGTTAGTTATTAGAAGCCTGGATATTGTGACCATAACGGTGCCTCCTGCCCTGCCTGCTGCCATCACCACAGGAACCATTTACGCCCAAAGCAGGCTAAAGAAGTGCAATATTTTCTGCATTAGTCCACCACGCATCAACATTTGTGGCAAGGTGTCGGTCTTTTGTTTTGATAAGGTGAGGCTGGAATCTGCTACATTTCAATGAGTCTTGTTCACATGCTGATGTGCAGAAGTAGAACTGACACGGATTTGTTTTCCCAGACAGGAACTTTGACAGAAGAGGGTTTGGATGTGTGGGGAGTGGTGGAGGGAGGATCTGCTGGTTTCTCAGAACTGGTCCCAGACCCCAAACTCCTGCCTCCAGGTTACATGCAATCTGCCCTGGCCTGCTGTCACACTGTCACACTTCTGCGAGGTCAGCCTCTCGGAGACCCTCTGGAGCTCAGAATGATCGAGTCTACTGGCTGGGTATGGTACTATGCATCTGATTTTATTTATTTAGAGACGTTTAAACTTAGTGCGTTAAACAAATACGCTGCCTAATTGTTTTTTTGTTTTTTTTTTCCAAAAGAAGCTGAAGATACCTATATTGATAAATTTATTTATAACTGATCATCATAACCTTGCATGCACATTTCATATTGTATATACCAATGTGAAAATCATTATTTCAACTTTGTTTCTAATTCCTCAGACTCTCCAGGAGCCAGAGGGAGATGGAGATGTTGTACAGGCAGAATATGGAGGTCACAAAGTTTTGACCGTCATGAGATCTCCAATTCAAAAGCTTCATTTTTATGGACACGTGAGTTTAAATTTTAACACGCATAAATAAACGCGTTTCACACTTCAGTGTCTTTTTACTGATGCAAAAAGGTCTTTGTCATTTAAAAACAACAGGTTTTATTTTGTAGTTAACACAAACCAAAGCAGTTCAGCAGCACTGTCACAAAATCAGAAGGGACAACAGCTGTTAACTAAGTTACGAGTCCAAAATAAACAAATCGAGGCGGATGTCTCTCTTTTTTTTTCCCAACTGAGGAAGCATGTGTGTTCGTTCCCAGACATAAACTCAACTGAATGAATCCCAGAACAGGATGGTAAATACTTCAGGCGCAGTCAGATGACAAGACCCAAATATTGCTTCGAACAAGAACTGAGGAATTGTTGTCTAAAAAGGCTGAAGGCAAGTTATAAAAATTCACTTTTAGTTTATGTAGCAATGCAAGTAACTGAGATGAGGTAATGCATACCAGAAGCTGCAGTTTAAACACATGAGGGAAAAACACTGACCCACCAGTTAATAATTAAAGCCCGTTTCTTTACTCTATTCACTTTAACCGTCTGTTTTATCAGTATTAATTACACTTGTTTATATTTGTTTTCACTCACTTTTATCTTGACACAAACACTTGCTGAAGTAGTTAATTTTGATTTAAAGTTGTTTTTTTTTTCCCCAGCTTATCAAACTTTACAATGTTATGTTTAGGTAACCACTTCTGAATCTTTTTAATTAATAATTTAATTTGTTGTCCATCTTTCGTAATTTATTCAGCTTCAGCAGAACTGCCAAGGAACGCGTCGCGTCCTGTCATCGTCTGCTGCTCGTACAGCATCAGCCACGCTGTTTTTGTTGTGAAGCGTTTTAACTTTTCAGCACCCATTCCTTTTCTCCATTCCAGCTTCAGTTCCAAGTTTTAGCTGCTCACTTTGTTGAAGATACTAAACCGGTTGTTTGATGCTGGCCTTCTATCACCCAGCTAATTTTTTTTTTATTTCTCAAAGGCTCATAATAATTTTGACGAGTCTTAACTTTGTAATTACGTAGTAGCTTAAAACAAAGACACATCTAGAAGCTAATGCAACTTAAACCTAGGCCTGTCGCGATAAATAATAAATCAAGTTAATCGCATGATAAATTAAAATGAGGTTGATCATTTTCATTTATCAGCTTTATCATTTTTTTGTGTCCCTCTTTCTACTGAAGACACTGGATGACAAAAGGTTCAACTCCAGTGCTCTTCACTGACCCCTCCCTTTCTCTTTTCTCTTTAAAATCCATTTTAATCGTCCAAAATCGTGTTTTTAGATCGTTAAAAGCAGCTAAGTTGAGAAGCTAAGCTACGAGCTAAGCTAACAGGCTGACCTCGGGGGGGAAAAAACTTCCATCTTGTTGAAGCTCCAAAAATCACGGTTGAAATCCGTGCCTTCGTGTAAAAATGTATTTTCTCTGCAAAAAGAAGCTGAGAACTTGTTTACTGATTTATTTATTTGTTCATTAAAAGCTTTATGTGAAAAATGCTATACTAAATAGTTCAAACCACACAGAGCGTCCACCATTTTGAGAACCGAAGAGAGACAGCCCATGTCACGTCAAGGGACCTCCCTCCCATTTTTCTTAGAGACACGCTGCTCGCTCCCTCACTATCCATCCTTCCGTTCAGTCTTATACTGCCATCTGGTGGTCAAAAAATGTACTACATGCAAAACAAATAAACATTTCTTTTTAAATTTGACAATGATTACTAATTATTGACAAATTTTAAACAATATTATCGTTTATCGCAATAATTTCTGAGCCAATTAATCGTCTAGCAAAATTTGTTATCGTGACAGGTCTACTTGCAACCTGTCCAGGGTGTCCCCTGCCTCTTGCACACTGACTGCTGGGTAATGAGCACCAGCTCTCCTGTGACTGCATGGAAGAGCGAGTAAAGAAAATGTATTGACCCTCTTTGATTTTATCAGAGTCAGAGATTCTTTATTGTCATTCGCACCTCATGTGGTACATGTGGTAGAGCGAAATTATGTACACAGGGTCCCAGTTACATCCAACAATAAAAAGAAAAACAATAATAACATCTAAGAAATGAACTAAGAAAAACATCAACTAAAATACATCATAAGAATCATTAGAACATCATAAGAATTGACTTCCAGCAGCTGTAAAAGAAGACACCATGTATCTTTTTTTTTTTAAATCCAGTTAAGCAGTGTATTTCTGGTAATCTTATTTTGAAGACATATATATCTGTCTGAAGTTATGCAGTTTGTCTTGTTTTTTCTTGTTGTTTTTAGGCCTCAAGTGAAGCAGTGGCCATTGTTCAGAGGTTTCCATTCTCCTCGGCCCTGCAGAGGATGAGCGTGGTGACGGTGGCCCACGGGGGGCGCTCTGCTCGGGCTTTCGTCAAAGGTTCCCCAGAGATGGTGACCAGTCTCTGTAGAGCTGATACAGGTTCAGTCAGAAGTCTTCCCTCACATGTTTCAACAGGCAAATCGTTAGCCCTTTTTTAATTTACAAATATAGATTTAAAGCTGCCTTTAGTCTATCAAAAATCTTAGAATATCAATATGAAATCAGATAATTTGTGCTTCCAGTGCCACCAGATTTCTCCAGCACACTGCATACGTTCTCCAGCGAAGGCCTCAGGGTTCTTGCACTCGCCTGTAAACCAGTAGATGTGAATTCTGACTTGATGAATATGAAACGGTGAGACCCACAAAGGTTTATCCCCTTTAAAAGTTGATGCATACTGTAAATCAATACAACTTTGTGATGGCTTTCAGTGCCGATGTAGAGAAAGACCTGCAGTTCCTGGGCTTACTCATGATGAAGAACCTTGTAAAACCTGAAAGTGCAGAAGTTATTAACATCCTAAGGCTGGCACAAATTCGCAACATTATGGTCACTGGTGAGAACATGTTGTTTTTTTATTTTTAAGACAATAATTGGCCTTGTTTTTTAATAGCAGACCATTTTACGCTGCATCTTTTACACAGGAGACAACATTTTAACAGCTGTTAATGTAGCCAGGAGCTGTGGGATGGTGGGATCTGATGAAAAGGTGATTTTTGTCATCGCATCTCCCCACACGACTCAGTCCTGGCCCACTTTGAGGTTCAGCCTAGAAGAGGAAGTTGCTGCCCAGTGGTCCGCAGAGGTCATGGGTCAGGTTGGTGTTTCTCAGACACAACTCTGCTGTTATGTATTTTACAAGGAGAGAGAGTGTTCAGAGAGGTTCACATCTGCGGTGGAACTGAAAGGAGTCTGGAAATATAAACGAGTTGTATTTCTAAAAAACATTTTGTCTTAAGCTCTACTCAGTAATAAATAGGATGATTGTACATACACATGGGTACATGCAAAACTGTATAATTATATTAGTTTTCAGTGATATTAATTAAGTTTCTTTTTATTTGTTTCTGCTTCTTCACAGAGTTTGTATCAGGGAGGTTTTGACTATCATCTGGCGATTAATGGCAAGTCCTTTGCCGCCCTTTGTGACCACTTCCCTGAATACCTTCCAAAGGTAATGTGAGCTGCAAAATCCCAGGAAACATACTTGTTGTTGCTAATCCAACAATGACATGACGTTATTACAGGTTTTAATGAAAGCCACCGTATTTGCGCGCATGTCCCCAGACCAAAAAGCTCAACTGGTGAAGGAGCTGCAGAAACTGAAGTAAGTTCATGTTTGAACCCAAAGGACACAACTTTGGAATAAAACGAAGTGTTGAATCAAAGTCTCGGTGGCTTTTATTCTTCTGCAGCCACAACATTTGATAGTTGGTATTTAATAGATGCATTGTTTTATGAAAATGCAATGTAGTCTTAACAGGAAGTGGATTTTAGAGCATGTTTCTATGGCTGTTCCCATACAGCAAGAAAATTAATAAATTCTTTACAATCTGATGCAGGAGTCAGTCTTTACCCAGCTCTGAAAGGGTTAATAATAGTTGAGCGTTTTAGAGTGCTTGCATGGGTTCATACCTGATGAAATCCCACTGAATGCTTAATTCATTGGTGTCTTGCCTTCGAAATCTTTTATAACTCCCAAATTGGTAAATTGGTAAATGAGAAAATAATGATCAGTGGTTGCTATGCCAGTTACTGAACTGGAAGATAAAACTAGAGAGGCCAGACTGAGATGGTGTGGACATGTTCAAAGTAGGGACAGTGGGTATATTGGTAGAAGGATGTCAGAAATGCAGCTGCCAGGAAAAAGACGCAAAGAGGAGATATGTGGATGCAGTTGGAGAGGACATGGAGGTAGTTGGAGTGAGGACAGAGTGAGGTGGAGGACTGAGGTGACCCCTGAAGACGGAACAGCTGAAAGAAGGAGGAGGTTGCTATGCTAAGCTAATAAGTTTTAACAAGTGAGTCATTCATCTGTGAGCTGAACAGCGGTGTCCTCTACATCCTCTACAGCTGTGAAGTTAGTTTTCAGTGAACGTTAATCGAGTTGTTAGCAGAAGTACACTGCAAATGTATAAATATTGAAGTTATTGTTTCACGTTTGTGCTTAATAGAGCTGACCTGTATAAAGCAAACCCTGTCTTGAATAATTCATTGTTAACTTCCATATTGTCTGCTAAAAAAAAAACAACCCACAAATATCTATCTGGAGCAAATGTTGTCGATAACACCGGAGCAAATGTTGTCGATAACACCTGCCTTAGATGTTTCTTTAGTGACAGAAAAAACGCATTTGTGTAGAATTGTAGTATTGATACAGTTGAACAGCGCCAGACAGCCTTGGCTTCTGTTTGACTTTCAGTAAGGTACCAACTATTTTTAAAAATCTTCTGCAGCTATCGAGTAGGCATGTGTGGGGACGGGGCCAACGACTGCGGGGCCCTGAAAGCTGCTGATGTTGGAGTTTCCCTGTCTGAGGCCGAAGCTTCAGTCGCTTCACCTTTTACTTCCAAGACTGAAAACATCAGCTGCGTGCCGCTGCTCATCAGGTGAAATAAACAGCACAGAAACTGAGTAAATTTGATATATATATATATATTTTTACGTCTAACCAAAACGTTTTAATTCAAACACTTCTACTTTCTTTGTTCAGAGAGGGCAGATGTTCTCTGGTCACATCCTTCAGTCTCTTCAGGTACATGGCGTTGTACAGTCTCATTCAGTTCAGCTCCGTCCTCATCCTAAACACAGTAAGTAGCAGTGAAGGAGCTCCTCACACCATGAAGTAGATTTAATTCTCTGTTTTACCTGCTGTTTTTTAATGGTTGCCATATTACTACAACTTTATTTTGACCCTAATTACATTTGTAGGAACATTTTTAGAAGCATTTGTTTAAATGATTGCTTTATATTGGTGTTCAGGTGAGGACAACTTTGGCTGACTTGCAATTCCTGTTCTTCGACTTGTTCTTTGTGACACTGCTGGCCTTGTTTATGGGAAAAGGAGGCCCCAGTGAGGAGTTGTACCCCAGCAGACCTCCAGCCAGTCTGCTGTCCCTGCCTGTGTTCGGCAGCCTCTTCATTCACACCTGCCTGATTGGTCTGGGCCAGCTGTCTGCATTCTTCATCACCAGAATGCAGGAGTGGTTAGTTCAAAGACTGAAACCTTTTATTTTCAATCAAAATGTTGTTCATGTGTCCATCCAATAGCTTTAGCATAAATTTCCAGACCTCTTTCTCTCTACCTACCTCCTCCTCCAAGGAGACGTAGAGGAAACCACCCACAAAACAATATATCTAGTGATTCCTGGGTCTGCTCTGAGGTCTTAAACTGAGGCATGTGTAAAACATTTCAGGAAGGTGTCTAGAAGGCATCCTTACCAGACGCCCAAAACACCTCAACTGAGCTCCGCAATCACCTCTACGCTGAACTTGTTGTCCCGTCCCCATGGCAGAGTCAAGACACTCTGTGGAGGAAACCATTTTCAGCCCCTAATAGTCACTATCTCATTCTTCAGTCTTTTGGTTATTATCAGCAATCCAAACCAAATTCTCATTCTTGTTGCACAGGGGTCAAATCATTCTTAGTAGGGTACCCCAAACCCCATAATCCCAAAGTACTCGTCACAGGACACCCCCAGCTGACACGGTTGTTCTGCAAGTCATTTAAACCCATTAGGGCTGGTTGGAGAAACTTATGCACCCTGAAATCACTGAGGCTTCAAATGTTGGTCCATGACCAAAATGAAGCTTCTTTTGAATTTTTGGTTCTACAGTCAGTATGATTTTTTTTTCCAGCACCATAGTGTAGACTATCCAGGGAGGTTGAAGTGTGATACGATCACACCCTCTGGTTCCCTTTTTTAACGAGGAACCACTATCGTATCATTATCAGCCATTTCAAGGGCACTGTGCCCAACCTCCGCTCATTGCTGCACAGGCATATCAACCAGATAGCACAACAGCAGCTTTTGAGGAACTCTGGGTAAAACTCATCCATTCCCGGAGCCCTGTTTGTTTTTGGACAACCTTAACAACCTCCGCTCCAGTGATGTGAGAGTTTCCCTCCTTCCATTGTCCGTTGTGTACAGGAGCAACTCAAATTACACCACTTGACTATCCACAGTTCAACAAGACTCTCCTCTTGTGAACAGGTTTGACAAAGCAGTTTCCTCAACCTGAACTACTTGACGTTTTGACAAAATCGCTTTTTGAGACTCACTGTTGGATAAAAATATCCTCACATTATCTTACTTACTTAAAGGAGCCACGCACAACGACAGGAGAAGGTTTTTAACCGAGTTTACTTGCAAGGACAGATAGTCACAACAGGCTTACACAGATGTACAAAGTCACATGCTTGAAACCCCGCCACGAGGATCTGCACCGGACAGTATACAATAAGTGCTTTTTATAAGGCTTATCAGCTACTACAGGTCACAAAGACCTTGGCTTCCAGCTTACAGACTCTGAGCAACCTTGGAGTTACCAGCTGCACATGCAGGATCAAATCAGCTCCTCATTCAGCTCTCCCTGCTAACTCAAATACACGGTTCATGGGCAGTTAACATTCTCAGCCATAGTAGTTAAACAATGACCAAAATTCCTCTGACACTCACCTGAAGTCCTGCTCCACAATCTGACCAAACTCTTCCCCCATACTAGCGTTTTGCTTGAGTCGGAGCCGAGGTCCACTTTGTCCACCCATACCTATCAAGCTGACCAAACTCATGACTCCTCCTTCAACCTGACCACATCAAGTGTCCATTACAAAATTGGAGGGTTACTCCTATGACTGTCACAGTTCTCTCAAGGCCATGAGGAATGAGTCCAAAGTGCAGATCCCACGTTATGTACAGAAATATCTTTATTAAACAAAAGCATAAGTCTGGGAGAATATCACCGGCCTCAGATATCTAACTAAAAAAAACACAAATATCTACAGATAACCCATCCATCCATCCATTATCTTTACCCGCTTATTCCATTTTGGGTCACGGGGGTCGCTGGTGCCCATGTCCAGCAATCACTGTGCGAGGGGCGGGGTACACCCTGGACGGGTCGCAAGTCCATCACAGGGCCACATAGAGACAAACAACCATTCACTCTCTCATTCACACCTAGGGACAATTTAGAGTTACCAATCAGCCTAACATGCATGTTTTTGGTCTGTGGGAGGAAACCGGAGTACCCGGAGAAAACCCACGCATGCACGGAGAGAACATGCAAACTCAACCCAGAAAGGCCCCTGGACCTGGGTTTGAACCAAGGACCTGCTCGCTGAGAGGCAATCTACAGAGAACCCATAAACCTAATTAAAACTAACCCTTAACATTAACACGGGCGTTCAACAACCTAGTGTAGTCGATGCTGCTGCGCACAGGAAGGGAACTGAACACAATAAATAGCCGACAGACATAATCACTAAACAGGAACACCTGGGGAGTGTGCAGCATCATACACTAAGGAGGGAACACAGGAAACCTGAAACTACAATAAACGGGTAAACAAGAATAAGAATAAACACAAACACAGAAAAACTGAGGAAACCTAATCCTCACAATGACCTGCACTCACTGACCGCTACTCTCTACAGCTTCATCAGCAATGGAGGCTTTGAATATTGACCATTCTGACTTTATGTCCCCTTACTCCCTCAGAAGGCTACAAAAAAAAGTCAGCTGGAGGTGGGATTTGATCTGCCAGATATTCCAAACACACCCTCACTAGACTGTTGGGTGCATTGTATCAATATAGTATCCTCTTCTGATGCCTGATCCTGATCTATCCTTTTTTTAATGGTGATCATTTGACCGCTCAGCTCTGATCTTCTGATGACAAAGTTATAAATTTAAACAGGAACCCATGGTGTCCTGATAAAACATGCACTTGTGGATACTTTTATATTAAAACTTGATGTTCCTGAAGGACATACCACGAGTAGCACAGAAGTCCATCAGACTTAGCAGGCGGTTCCTCTGATTCACGACCATCCAGGTCACACCGTCATCTTAAAGCAGACCAGTAACTCCATAAGCTCGGAATTGTGCCTCCTGCAGGTGTAGGGTCCACAGGAGGGTTCACAATGTTGTAAAGAATTTTATTTGTAATTTTCTCTGAATTAACAATCAAATCCAGTGTCTCCAGTTAAAAAAAGAGCAACCACCTGATCCACACTTGACTTCATTTTTCAGGTATATCCCACTCAATTCAACAGTGTTTGGAAAAGAAAATCTTCCCAACATGGAGAACGCCTGTGTGTTTAACTTGTCCGGTTATCAGTATATCTTTATAGCAGTGGTGGTCACCAAGAGTTACCCTCACAAGAAGCCTCTCTACCACAACGGTGAGTCATGTTTAGAAATTAGGATTTAGCATAATGAGACATTTTAGGTTTATACTTTGAAAACTACTTATTTATTGTCATTTTGTTCCATTTACCACTATAAGTAATTATTCTGTCATCCTTCTAGTGGTCTTCCTGTGCATCCTGTTAATCCACTTTGCTGTGATGACCTGGCTGGTGTTGTATCCAGGTCCCTTCTTCAGCCAAGTACTTGAGTTGTACAACTTCACCGATATGAACTTTAAGATGCTGCTCGGTGCTGTGGCAGCTCTCAACTTCCTGATTTGTTTTGTTGTGGAAGTGAGTGACATTTTATATTTGTGGCTTGTCCTTATTGGACTGTTGCTGATCTCATTATTGTCTTATTGTCAACTTGTCTTGGTGAGTTGGCACTTAAGAGTACTTTGCTTACTTTATAATTGCCACTTTGCTGTTATTGTCTATTTACAAGTAAATGTACATAAAAAAAAACTGCAACTATTTTCTTTGTGTTTTCGTAAACTAACATTTTTTTACTTGTCCTCCAGTTGCTGATAGATTTGGGTTTGTTGAACTGCCTCCGTCTGCTGCGTGGAAAGCGTCAGTCGAAAAAGCAGTACAAACGTCTGAATGCCCTTCTGTCTGACTCCACATCATGGCTGCCACTAAATCAAACTCTGACCCCCAGAGATCACACAGTCATCAATTTCACCTAACATCTACCTGACCCTCTGCTGGACTCGTCTGGTCTTAACCAGAACAGTGTCTGACCAACAATGCAAAGCCATGTTTACCTTACTATAATAAACTATTTTTATATTGCCTATTGTTTGGTTTTTAAGTGTTCATGTTTGCTATGAAGTAAATTTTTATAGAAATATTCTGAACAAACATCAATCTGAAATTATATTTCTTAGTATATCATATTTATCAAATTAATATTTACAGGCATTTTGTGTTTTGAGCTCATCATCTGTTCCTGCTATGCCACTAATTTCTTGAATCAAAATGCCAAAACATTAAAGCATTTTAAATTTAACTTGCACATCATTTTAGGGTCGAGTTATTATTCATTATATAAAAATCTTATATTTTATGTATCTCATCAAGGTAAAACGAAACATGCATTGCCTGATGTGAGGGTTGTTTACGTATGAACATAATCACAGTTTTTTGCCAACCAAAATGTTGAAAGGCCAATAAGCAGACTAGAAAAGAAATTAAAGTTCATTAGTTCTTGTAGTCTTTGTGAACATGCAGGCAATATGAGTCATCAAATTCTATTTTGTGTGCAATTAGTTAATTTGTTACAGTTTTGTTTAGTATGGAAATTATATTTATATTCTCTACGTTATTGTAAAAGTTGTATACCAGTTGTGAAACAATTCAAATTGCTGTAAAAAAAAAAACTAAATTGGTGTCAGAACCACAATAATGATGGTCATTTAGAGATAAACACAACTCAGAACATTCAGTCAACTGTAAATAAATTGGCAGACCAACAAATATAAAGTAGAGTTGATGATCCTATTCCAACAACAGCATGGGTTTAAAGCTTTGTGGAGAAGTGAAAATTATGGAAGATCGTTAGTGGCATGAACACATAAAAAGTTGTGTATATTGCCAAGTCACAACAGAAGTCATCTCGGGGCACTGAACAGAAACATTCATATATAAAAATAATATTTTTTAACATTATTTGTCTGAGGAGCAGACTACTTTGAGTTTAACAGAACTCTCATCCTGAGCGAGCATGAAGGCGACAGTGGAAAGAAAAACTGTCATGAGGAAGAAACCTTTAGCAGAACCAGGCTCAGGACAAGCGACCATCTGCTTCAACTGGCTGGGTTTGGTAGGAACAGATACACAATGGCAGGTCAAGAATCACATGTTAAGGTAGAAATGATATACAATGAAAACTATTCAGTTTTAGCAAATCATTTAAGAAATGAGGTCAATTTGTCCTCAAGTAGTCTAAGTCTATAGCAGCATAAGAAGCCAACCCTAATAATAGGATTTATCAAAAAGGGAAGTCTTAAAACTGAACAATGTGTCAGCCTCACGGACAGAAACTGGAAGTTGGTTTCACAAGAGAGGAGCCTGAGAACTGAAAGATCTTCCTCCCATTCTGCTTTTGGAAACTAAGAACCACGAATAAGCCTGCAGTCTGAGAGCGAAGTGCTCTCTTAGGAAAATATGGAACAATAAGATCTCGAATATAAGATGGAGCTAGGTTTTTGAGAGCTTTGTAGGTTAGAAGTAAGATTTTGAATTATATTCTGGACTTGACAGGGAGCCAATGGAGAGAAGCTAAAACTGGAGAGAAATGATCTCTCCTACCAACTCCAGTTAAGACTGGCAGCAGCATTTTGGATCAACTGAAGACTTTTTAAAGAAGTATTTGAACACATGACAAACCATTGCAATAGTCCAGTCTAGACATGACAAATACATGAACCAGTTTTTCTGCATCATTTTCAGATAAGATGTTTCTAATTTTAGCGATGTTAGGCAGGTGGAAGAAGGCGATTCTAGTAACTTTTTAATGTGGGGGTTTAAATACGTCCTGATCATAAATAACACCAAGATTTTTAACATTAGAGCTGGAGGCCAGATTAATGCCATCCAAGAAGGGCTAAAGACTGAAAAATGTATTCCTAAGATGCTCAGGTCCACTGCGAACCGAAGGCTAACCGTAATGACCAATGAGAGATACTCTGAAGGACCCATTCCCCCAAGATCGACGTGAATTAATTTCTTCAGATCGTTACTGTATTTTGCGCCACATGCACAGACCTGTTCATCTGCAACAACAATGGAAAACGCACAGAGAATTTCTTTTGTTGCAGCTTTCAAGTTAAAAGTGATCGATCTGGCTGTCGAAGAAGGAAACAGCTGCCAAGAGCGACACAGAGACGGTGTTTGATTACGGTTTTCTGAACCTCGAAGAGAACTTTAGTTCACAGGAGGAAAAAATGTTTACAGGAGGACAAAGAACATAGCAATGAGTGGTCGACTACCAGTACTTTTGTTTTTGGGCCGTGTTGAAGGCATTTTCAGAAAAAAACAAAACATTTATTGGTTGTTCCCCTCCGGGTCAAGTGGGCTCCACTTATCAGGAGTCGTCAAAATTTATTTTTAAAGCAGTCAAGTCTGGTACGTATTTTAATAAAAGTTTTTTAATTATTTCTGTGTGACATCTTTCTGTGTACGGTAGATATGTATTTAAATACCAGTAAATCATTTAAGCTCACATCCGAGCACAGAGCCGAGACAACGAACGGGAGGGGATCTTCCTCCTCCCCATGTGGGCTCCCCTGATGTGAGAGGTTTAAACTGTATTAATCAACTGATGTGAGTTAAATCTGATCAGTTAATAAGTGTTTTACGTAGAGTAGTTACAAATCGTTGCAACATAAAAAATGGGGAGCCTGCTTAATGAAAGTAGCTGTGTTTTGTGTTAGCATGACCTGACTGAAAATTGTTGGATTGTATACCTGGATTATTGAGCATGGACTTTTTTGGTTTTGAACCAGTTTGACATGACTGTCGACGAGGAAGAGAGCCGGCATGCCAAAGACACCATCTTAGCACCAACATAACTGGTTTGTTCCACTTTTCAGTAAGCTGTTTGGGGGAAGATTCAGTTTTCTGTAATGTGTTTCCTTGATTGATGAAGCCTACCGAATGGAAGGTGAAACGTTTCAGCAAAAAAATAAACTGTCCAGATGACCTGACTGAAAATTGTTGGGTAGCTGTGTTTAATTAAAGCAAAGCAGAAGGGAGTATACAGATGTGCAAGCTCTCTGATAACACCATAGGTCCTGTGATAACGTCATAAATGTCTTACGGATTTATAGTGGCTTCCTGTTAGCACCTGGGAAAGTAACTTGAGATGCACGGTGCCAAATGTCAGGATGGCCTCTAAGAAGGTAGAGCTGACCAAGAGCACAAAAGACAGCATCTTCATGTTATCCTTAATTGCATTGGGGCTGCTGCCATTAGGTCAATTCCCCAGATCTGTTCTTATATTCTGTATATCTTTCCTGTTTAAAATAAAGTTGTTTAAAAAGTCGTCCTAGTTTCCCTCCAACCAACGGACCTGGGTGAGAGCGACGAGAGAGGCTCTTAACACTGAGCAGAAATCACGTCAAATGTATTTAGAAAGTACATTTAAAAACAGCCACTGTCACCAAACGTGATTAACAATAAAAATCAATGGTACTAATTTAATGAATATTTAGCCTTATTTTACCGGTACTATCTATGTTACTCCCGGTCACATGACTTCGATAAGACTTCTGAGGAACATTTACCAGTATGTAAGTTTTAAATAATTTCAGTTACATAGTTTGGCACTGTTCTGTCCATATGCTTAGATAGTTCTTGTGTTCATTTTGTAGGTTGAATGGTTTTAACCATGAGTCAGTCATGAAAACTCATGACGATCACCAAGCCATAATCTAAGAAACGCCGTCCGGTGACTGATTCTTGTGCTACAACAAGAGCTGCACATGATGCCAGGAGCTGGGCACAGATTCTGATAATGAACAGTGGATACACATGGATTAAAAAAAATGGTGCATCATATTTATGTACAAAATTATGATTTCTCTTGAATTTAATATGCACGGCTCACAGTTAGGTGTGTTCTGTACCTGGCAGTTACAGTATATATGGGACTTTTTATTTATGTTCATATTAGTGTTGTTAACTTGTGTTGCTGTTGGACATGCATTTTTTTGATATTTTGCACTATATATAATTATGTAGAAAAGCCAAAATTTCAATATTTGATTTCTTAAATATGATGTATTTGTTATATTTTGTGTTCTGTAATGTTCTTTATACAGAATGGAAGGTTACATAACTGTATAGTAAATAAAAGGGCTTTACTTAAAGATGTATGTGCATTTCATGTATTGTATTATTGTGTTCGGCCCATAGCCCTCTGATAGGTTTTAAAATTGGCCCTCAGGGAAAAAAGTTTTGGTCACCCTTGTTCTAGAGCCTGTCTTGTGTGGGATTTGTCCTTAGTTAGTGTTCTGTGGTAGAGTCCTGATGACTCCTAAATTGTTCTCCAGAGGGTGATGGGAGTCAGACTGGTCTGTGTGGGTGGGTTAGCGGTACACCTCTGTTTGCAAATGTCCTCCATCAGAAACTGAGACCTCACAGTCCAAGAAAACCAACCTGCCATTATTTTACATCTTCTCGTGTGAACTTTAAATATTTATCTACAGAGTTGACGTGGTTAGTAAAATGTTGGACTTCCTGAGATTTCATTCTAACCCAGCTGTCATCAACATACCTGAACCAATGACTTGGTGGTGTCCCTGAAAAGGACGTCAAGGCTCTCTTTTCTACCTCCTCCATGTACAGGTTGGCAACAATAGGAGAAACTGGAGACCCCATAGCACACCCATGTTTTTGCCTATAATATTGACCCCCCCATATGTGAAGTAGGTTGACTGCAGGCACAGTTTCAAGAGTTGACACAGTTGTTCTGTGGAAAGCGTGGTCCTGCTGCTCAGAGTGGTGTCTGATTTTAACCTTAAACTGACCACCTCTACTGCATCATCAACAGGAATGCACGTAAAGAGTGATGTGACATCAAAAGAGACCATTGTTTCATCAGTCTCCATGATGACATCCCTCACCTTATCCACAAAGTCCATGGTGTTCTGTATGTGGTGTTCTGAGCTGCCAACTAAAGGGATGAGTACAGACGCCAGATATTTGGAAACATTGTAAGTGACAGAGTTAATCATGCTAACGATTGGTCTTAAAGGTACGCCTTGTTTGTGGATTTTAGGTAAACCATA